TAAATCTACTAACTATGCTATGTACGTTTGTTAAACAATTATGCAATCGATCTCTTTAGGTTTAATGCATCGTTGATTAGTTTCTAATCATTACAGTACCAATTCTACAGAATCTTATAAATTAAATCCACTAATTATTGAAAAGTTTGCAAAACCATAATATTTTATGAATATTAAAATTAATAGCTTACTAATGACATATTGTAACAACAGAAAAGCTTGGATGTTAACTACTACATTTCAAGAGTGGCTTCAAAATTTTGATAGAGAAATAGCTAAAAAATATAAAGATTAAAAGGTTTTATTACTTCTTGATAATTGTAGTAGTTATAAAATTAGCAACTTAATTCTTCCAAATGTTGACATTTATTTTTTGCCTCCAAATACTAAATCTAAAATCCAACCAATGGATGCAGGAATTATAATGTTATTTAAATGACATTATCATAGTTTACATATCAAGTGGATCTTAAATCAAGTTCAAGAAGGAAAAGATATAAAGGATCTAAAAATGAATATTTTATAAGCAATAAATTATGTAATTAAAAGTTGGGAAGAAATAAAACTAGAAACTATACAAAATTGCTAGAGTAAAACTAAAATTCTTTCTGGAACTTTTAATAATAATTTAAATACTCCTTTTAATGATTTTACACCAACCTTAAGAGAAATTAATAAAGAAATTGCAATACTTAACTTATCAAATATGATAGCTAAAGAATTATTAAATAATTCTGATGAAAAAATAGTTTACGAAATGCCTAATAATGATAAAATTATTGAAAATCTTGTTGAATTATATAAACAACTATTAAATATACAAACAGATATAAATGAAGAAGATATTGATGATAGCATTGAACCTTTAATAGTAAGTGCTAATAGTGCATTAAAAAGTTTAGAAATTGTTCATTCTTTTTTATAGCAACAAGAGGATTCAAAAGATTTGTTAAAAAGTATTAATACTTTTGATCGATATATTAATTTAAAAATGATAAATGAGATGAAACAAATGACTTTAGATAAATTATTTTCTTAGTAATAATTTAAATATTTTTATTATAGAAATTTTTAACTTGATAAAATATCTAAAAATTGTTATAAAACAAAAATAAATTAGTATTAGCATTAGTATACTATAAATATAGGAATTATATAAATGATACTTATAATTAGTATAATTTAAAATTTATTAGTTAAAGTATTGTAGTTAGATCTTTTTTGTTTATTAAATATATATATTTATTTAAAATAAATAACAAAAAACTGGCAATATTATACATTAATTCTTTAAATGATATAATTAATCAATAAGGGGTGTGGCGACCTAGTGAAGTGGTCAGGTTGCAACCCCCCAAGTGGTAGGTTGGGTGTTCAAATCCTATCAACAGCGAAAATTTGGATAATCACCTATGTAATCTGGTATTATGGCAACTGTTCCTAATGATTAGGTTAAGATATCTGTAATTATGGTCACACCAGCATGACTGGCAGGTCATGGGGCATCTGTGTAACTTTTGTCAAGAATTTTTTTTCTCTTTCTATAAGATTCATTTTTGTGATCTTTAGAATTATGATTTCTTCTTTTTTTGCTT